CGGGGAGGGGAACCTTCCCCTGTCAGAAGGCCGAGAGTGAGGGTGCAGGCCGGGCATCTGGGGTCGGCCCCTCCACCTGGGCCTGCCTCAGCCCCTCCTTGGAACTGGGGCAGCCCAGGCCCCAGTGGGCATCAGGCCTCCATGCTGTTCATTGTGACGTGTAGGCGAGTGGGTGGAAGCAACACCAAGAATGACACCTGATTTCCCCAGAGGCACCTCTGCTCCCCAGGCTGGCAGTAGCCCGAGGAGCTTAGATGCCCCTCTGAGCATCACGATGCTGAGGGTCATGTCCTGGGCCGTCACGTTAGAGTCCATGTGGCTCCATGAAGAGGGGAGCCATCCTGCCCAGAGGGAAACAAGTCTCCATTGTAAGCCCCCCGTGTCCTCGCCTGTAGATGATTCCCTTTGTGAATGGAGAAAACCCATCACAGTAGGATGGAGGCAGGCGCCAGCCCTCTGGCCAGTTGTTCGATACCATAGCAGCCCCGTCTGCCCACCTGGAAGCCCCACGTGGGTTTGGGGGCACGGCGTTAACAGTGCTGCTGCAGTGTCTCCCGCCACCCCCTGGACAGCTGGGCACGGCAGGTGGTGGCGACTCACAAGGCAGCCCCATTGCCTGGGTGTCTGCTGGGTGCCGGGCACTGTGCTCCAGCACCTGCCCACTTAGTTCCCACAGCAGTCCCGATTTACACGGAGGAGACACCGGGGGCCCGTTGGGGCTCGTTTTCTTCTCCTGGGGTGGGAGGACTGGCGGTCAGTAGTGTCACCGTAAATCTGAGTTGTTCGCCAGTCACCACTCACGGCCACGTGTTGAGCGAGTGGCCATGGCTTGGGTGGCCCGAGCTGGACGGCTGTGGACGCTATACCTGCTCCCTGATGTAGGTGTTCCTCTGTCTCCTCAGCACCACCGCCCGCCCCCACTCCACCCGCCATGGTCACCTTGCTAATAACCCTGCTCTCCCCACCCCCGGCAGGAACCACGAAAGCGGAGGACCGGGGCATGCTGCTGAAGACCTTCAACGAGCCCGGCTCCGAGTACTTCATCTTCCTGCTCAGCACCCGGGCTGGGGGGCTGGGTCTGAACCTCCAGTCAGCCGACACTGTTATCATATTCGACAGTGACTGGAACCCCCACCAGGTAACAGCTTTTCAGGCCCCCTAGGGGGAGGGGCTCAAAGCCTCAGGGAGACCATGCCCACTAGCATGAGTGCCCGCTGGCCTCTTGACATTCTCCTGGAGTCCCAGAGGCCCCTGGAGAGAAGCCCAGAGAGCAGTTACTTTCCTCTGTTTCTCAAAACAAAACTAGTTTTTTGCTCTGATTATGAAAAAATTCATGTTCCGTTGTTATTTAAAAAAAAGAAAAAATCCTGGGAATTCCCTGGTGGTCCGGCGGTTAGGACTCTGCGCTCTCACTGCAGAGGGCCTGGGTTCAATCCCTGGTCAGGGAACTAAGATCCCACAAGCCACGTGGCACAGCCAGAAAAACAAAAAAAATTCTGGTGTCACGTAAATGTGCAGAGAAAGTGGAAGATGCCCCAGTCCTATCAGCTGGCAGTAATGGTCACTGTTTTAGTCATGCAGGTCCTTCCTGGCCATGTTCTGGCCCAGCCCTCATGCTGGCGCCTCTTCAAACCACACTGAGGCGTACTTTTTGTGCTCTGTGCGCTGCTGCCCTTCTTTCTTATCCACGCACCCTGCACAGGGCTCCGTGCCTGTAGATAAACAGGGATGTGGTATTTTATAGATGCAGTAGTTTTTTGTTTGTTTGTTTTTATAAATTTATTTATTTATTCTTTGGCTGCGTTGGGTCTTTGTTGCTGCGTGTGGGCTTTCGCTAGTTGCAGCGAGTCGGGGGCTACTCTTCCTTGCAGTGCGTAGGCTACTCGTTGTGGTGGCTTCTCTTTGTTTCAGAGCATGGACCCTAGGTGCACGGTCTTCAGTAGTTGTGGCGTGCGGGCTCAGTAGTTGTGGCTCGTGGGCTCTAGAGCACAGGCTCAGTAGTTGCGGCGCACGGGCTTAGTTGCTCCGCGGCACGTGGGATCTTCCCGGACCAGGGCTTGAACCCACGTCCCCTGCACTGGCAGGCAGATTCTTAACAACTGCGCCTCCAGGGAAGCCCCAGTACAGTAGTTTTAGAGTAAGTGTTTACCTCTTACGTCTTACTATAAAAGTAGTAATTTTTTCAAATGCAAATACCAATAAGGGAAAGTAACAAATTAAAGAGTCCATTTTTCCCTTTCCCCCCCAACCCCGCTCTTCTCTGAGCCAGCATCTACCCATGTACACACATACATTCTGGCTTTGACATGAACACGGCGTGCTCCAGCACGTGTCTCTTCCCGCCAGCAGCTGGTGTGTTCATGTCTCCATGCAAAGCACACGGGGACTCTCCCCAGCCGCTTCCTCAACAGCCAGCTATCTTGGCATATGGTGGCCCCAGGAATTTTTTTTTTTTTTTTTTTTTCACTATATTTTTGGGCCCACCCACCAACTTTCCCAGAATATTTCCAAATTTTCCAGCTGGAATTTAGTGGGGTGAACTCCCCAGGCCAGTTTTTTTGTTTTTGTTTTTGGTTGTTTGTTTGTTTGGTTTTGTGGTACGCGGGCCTCTCACCGTTGTGGCCTCTCCCGTTGCGGAGCACGGGCTCCGGACCCGCAGGCTCAGCGGCCGTGGCTCACGGGCCCAGCCGCTCCGCGGCACCTGGGATCTTCCCGGACCGGGGCACGAACCTGCGTCCCCTGCATCGGCAGGCGGGCTCTCAACCACTGCGCCACCAGGGAAGCCCGGCCCCAGGAGTTTTGACTCAAACCCCAGTTGGCAGACGTCCGGGTTTTCTGTTCCCCTTGGGGAACCTTCTTGTCCCTCTCTTGGAGCACCAGCCAGGCCAAGCCTGAGAGGTGGGATTGCTCGGTCCACAGGCCTGTCCCTTCACGTTCTGGTTGGTTCTGCCACGGTGGCCTCCAGCAGGCTGCCCCAGCTTTCACTCCTGTTGACGGTGCGAGCGAGCCCTTCTCCACAGCCCAGCAGAGCTGGCTATCGGTGTGTAAACCACGGGCGCCCGACAGACGAGTGCCTGGGGTGGTTGCCGCGCCAGCCTGGGGTGTGGCTCCTGCCCGGACCTCAGTGACTGGCCTGTTTCCTGAGAGGTGGTGCGAGTGTGCTTCCCCCACCCACAGGCTGTCGGGGCAGAGACCCCCGTGGAGCCCTGTCCTTTTCCACACCTTCAGAGGTCAGGAAGCACATTGCAGAGCCAGGGGTCGTGCCGGCTGAGCTGCGGGGCAGGTTTGGGGGTACGAACCGTGGGCACAAAGCATGCCTGTTCCCACCAGGTGTGGCCTCTGCTGCCCCCATGAGGTGCAGATCTGGAGGTCAGCCCCACATGGCTGCAGGCCCCAGACACAGGATTTCGTAGCCCCTTCTGGGTCTACGCTGGGTGTGATGATACAGCGTTGGCGCCATGCCTACCACTTTATGGGCGCTTGCTCCAGTCCAGGCACTGGCCTGAGCACCCAACGCCCGTTGGCTCCTCTCACCCACGATAGCCGCGAGACGGGCTGGTGTCAGCAGAGTGGATCCTGAGGTTCCGAGAGGTGGGGCCTGGGCCTGGCCTGCATGGCAGGGCCTCCAGTCAAACCAGGCATCAACGTGGTGCTGCCCAGCTTTGGCGTCATTCTGTGAACAGTGCCCTCGCCGTGATACAGCCACGCCAAGCCAGGCCCTGCCCGGGGCAGCCAAGGGGCCCTGTGCAGCTGTGAGATGAGCTGCTGGGGTATAACCCCCTGGGGTGGCCCTCTACAACTGCGGTTTCTTCCTGAGTATCCGTCAAATCCCAGTGAAGGTAGAAAGTGACGCTTCTGCAGGAATTTGGGGTCAAGTCATCCTGGCACGGGCTCCAGGTCTTGTTCCTGAGCTTCTGGCCTGTGCAGCTTCTGGCTGTGGTGGGCAGAACAGCCAGGCGGGCGCCCGAGAATTGGAAGACCCCTGCCTTTCCCAGTGGCATCCAGTGACCCACTGTCCCTTAACGATTTAAAGAGCTTGTTTGGGACTGACGGGCATCTCTCTCCCCAGGACCTGCAAGCGCAGGACCGTGCCCACCGCATCGGGCAGCAGAACGAGGTGCGTGTGCTCCGCCTCTGCACGGTCAACAGCGTGGAAGAGAAGATCCTGGCTGCGGCCAAGTACAAGCTCAACGTCGACCAGAAGGTGATCCAGGCCGGCATGTTCGACCAGAAGTCCTCCAGCCATGAGAGGCGCGCTTTCCTCCAGGCCATCCTCGAGCACGAGGAGCAGGACGAGGTGAGGGCAGCACCAGCCCTGACCCCCTCCCCGGCGTGAGTGGTGGACGCATGAGCGGCTTTCATTTTTATTTTTTTACCTTTTTTGCACTCTTATTTTTTTTGCATCCCTTTGGAGTAAAGGGAGTGTGGGCTGAAAGGAAAGAGGATGAGTACTTGCTTTTTCTTTGAAGTGGTTTTTTTTTTCTAAACTGCTGGTGAAAGATGCCGGATTGACAGCCCTGGAGACTGAAGTCCTCTATTTATCCACAGAGCAGACACTGCAGCACGGGCAGCGGCAGTGCCAGCTTCGCCCACACTGCCCCTCCGCCAGCGGGCGTCAACCCCGACTTGGAGGAGCCACCTCTAAAGGTGAGAGGGGTAGTTCAGTCTCCATGCCCATTCAATCCTCGGCTTCTCGGCTGAGATGGCCAGCAAGGGCCCTGATCCCACGGAGCGTGCGTGTGCGTGTGCGTGTGCGTCTCTTGCTGCCGTGTGGGTCCCCATCCACCGCAGCCGGACTGGGACCGCCAGCTCATTTCCCATGGACCGCCGCCGCTCGCCTCCGAGCCCGGCCGCCTCCCACCCTGGCCTCCCCGCACTCCAACTAAACGTGTGACATCTTGTAGGAAGAAGACGAGGTGCCTGACGATGAGACGGTGAACCAGATGATTGCCCGGCACGAGGAAGAGTTCGACCTGTTCATGGTGAGCGCCGCGGGCACTCGGGCCCTGCGCACCCTCAGGGGCTTGGTTCCCTGCCCGTGTGAACCGCGTGCAGTGGAGCTCACACACAACCCCACCCCCACCCCCCGCCGCCCCCTTCCCTGCTGACACCGGACAGAGCAAAAGGTCTCAGTGACGGTGGCATCCCCAGCGGGTAACGGGGCTGGGGGCAGCCCTCAGGGTGGCCCCTCCATGGCTCCTAACTGACCCATCTTTGTTCCACGGCCTCCTAAGTGTGTCGTAGGGATGGCAGGACACACGTACATGCCCAGCCCTGCTCCAGTTTATGGCCCTCCATCGGCCAATGCCTGTTGTCCTTGAGGCTCCCTTTCAGAGGGAGCCACACTGTCCAAGACTGAGGGACTGGCGAGGGCCTCAGTCTCAGATGCCCTGTTGCCCCTCGTGGGCATGGAATCGGGGGGAATTGGGGGCGCCCTCGGCCCCAGCAGGCCTGTGCCTTCCGCTGAGCCTGTATCGTTTCAGCCCCCATTCCAGCCCCCGTTCTGCCACCTTCCTGTCCTTTCCAGTTCTCTCTGCCCCTGAAGCAGAGCCCCAACCAAGGTCTGACATGGCAGCCCGGCCAGCTCAGCCACCGCACGACCAAGCTGCTGTTTAACTACCGCTGCAGCGATGGTCCCGAGGCAGGGAAGCAGCCCCCGGTCAGGGTGCCCCCGCGTGTGCTCACTGGCCATCTCCTCTGTCCCCTCTGTGCTGACGCCTGTGCCTCTGTCCCTGCCGCCCCACACCTCACAGCGCATGGACCTGGACCGCAGGCGCGAGGAGGCCCGCAACCCCAAGCGCAAGCCACGCCTGATGGAGGAGGATGAGCTCCCCTCGTGGATCATCAAGGACGACGCAGAGGTGGAGCGGCTGACCTGCGAGGAGGAGGAGGAGAAGATGTTCGGCCGCGGCTCCCGCCACCGCAAGGAGGTGGACTACAGCGACTCGCTGACCGAGAAGCAGTGGCTCAAGGTACATGCCGGAGAGGGCCGCGGGCAGGGCTCAGGCGGCGCAGGGCTCGGCCGCCAGGATCGAGGCCTTCGTCTGAATCCTGGGCAGTGCCCTTCGGCCGTTCTTGGTCGGTGTTCACTCACGACAGCGACCCTTCCCACGTGGGGTCAGGTTCACTCAGTTCCTCCTGATGGAACTCGGGAAGGCACCCCTGTGCGGTTCCCGAGCTACCCAAAACCCGCTTCTGGGTGGAGTTGGCCCTCCCAGCGTCAGGTTTAAGCAAAATATTGCCAGTCTTTGCACGGGGCTGACCGGAGGACCCAGGGATATACTGGGGATCGTCAAGTCACCCTGCAAGATGGTTGAGAGTGGTGACGGGGTCAGGCAGCCCCGCCTTTGCGTGCATCACCCCTGGAAGCTGTGGGGAGGGAAGAGGGAGGAAGCCCCCGCCCGAGGCTCCCGGCACCAGCTGCTCATGGAGGTGATGTGAGCACCTGTTTTCAGCAAGTGGCTCCCGGCCCTCGCAGCTGCCGACAGCTGAGTCAGGGCTGCGGGCGGCTGCTGGTCCTCCTGATTCAGCCCCCCGACCCCACCCGAGCAAGGGCGCTCTACATTTGCACAGGGGCCTGGCACTGGGGTTACAGTGACAAATCAGACCCCATTCCTG